TAAAGACGGGCAATTTTATTTTACAATTTTGCTTTATGCACATCCTGGTTTAAACCTTGGCTTATTGAATTACACTTGATACAATCTCATATCATCTTTCACATCTCACATATTTAATTCAATTATTATAACACTTCCATGTCTCAAATAAGATCTGCAAATAGCTTAATCTTTTATTTTAAGACAGAGTCTTGCTCATTCAATAAGTCTTCTTACTTTTGACATTTTAATTGTTGAACTGAAAGGGTAAGTTTGATTAATTTTTCTACAGCCACAACATCAGATGTTGTCGAGGCACCAGTCGTTGAGCTTCCAAGCATGCATAGCCAAGTTGAAGTCAAAGTTGAAAATCCAATCTCCTATGCCAATGCTCTGCAACGTAAGTTTCTGATTTTCTTTTATTTTACAAGTTCTATAGTTGATCGAATATAGGATAAGTGTATACTTTATACAGTGAGAACTCTGTAGTGGGTGGCAAGACATAACGCATAAGTGTGCCTATGTTATTTATGTAGACAGCCACGTTAAACAAATACAAATTATAAGATTTTCCATTTGGGACTTTAGATATGACATCGAGGCCAAGTGATGGATTAACCGTCTATCAAGAGTTTTCATTTTCGTTCTTTCCCTACTTGGAAAGTATCCAAAAATCTTCCTTACCCTCTTTGTTGTCATTTGAACAAATTACAAAAGTAATGATGTTGATGTGCTAGTAAATATTAAGGATTGATTTTGTGAGTGGATTTGGTTTAATATGTGGAGCATCTTCCACATATCTGATAACATCATCAGGGGTAGAAAGGGAGATCAACTGAGGCTTCGTTTACTATTATATAAAGCTGCTTTAAGAGGAGATTGGAAGGGTGCTGAAGCTGCTCTGATATAGGACGAAAGTGCAGGTTCTCTGGAGATAGAAGAAGGTGGAGAAAAGCCTCTTCATATAGCTGCTCTCGCCAAGCAAACTGCATTTGTCCACAAGCTAGTCGAATGCCTGAACAAAGGAGACCTGGAATTGCCGAATAATGAGGGACAAACAGCTTTTGTTTTTTTGCAGCTATATCAGGGGTTGTAGAAATTGCCAAGGTACCAAAAAACTAATGCTCTGCCAACAATTCGAGACTTAAACTATTGAGCCCAATTGAATTGGCAACTTGGATGGCAAACAAAAAAATGGTTGAATATTTTTACAAAATTACACCTCTTCAAAATTTCAAGGCCGAGGAGCGCATGAACATTCTTGTTGCAACAATATACAGTGGCATGTATGGTACGGAATCTCTGTTCACGACTTTGGACAAGATGACAATGAAAATTATGTTTACAATAGTTGCAAATTTGCTTTTCTTATGTGCAGATATCGCATTAAACATATTGAAAGCAGATAGAAGTATAGTTACTTCTCCAAACGTGGACAAAGGAAGGGCTCTGCATGCTTTAGCTCGAAAACCTTTTTCATACTATGGTACAAGTCAAGAATGGATATGTGAAAGTCTCGCTAGATTCGTCCCTTATGTTCCATGTAAGTTTATTCTATTTCATTATTAACTTTCAACTGACAACAAATTAAAAACTTAGCTTAATTTACCCGAAAATTTCTAGTTGATAGTAGACATATATGTATCCGATGGGACCGGGTGGAAACAAAACGCAAGAATTGAGATTTAATGGACATCAATTTGAAGGTTAAATACAAGATCGCAAAAATACCATGAACAAGATTAAAGTAAAGAAATAAACTGGTAGAGGAACGATGTTATTTTATTCCATCAATGAAAGGAGAGAATTACAACAATTGGTTTCAACAATACTGAAAGAGGAGACTCATATATATATATATGCCATGAGTTTACACCTAAAAAAGTCCCTAAAAGGTAGAAAATTTAGCAAAATTAGGTCAAGGCACGTAAATTGAGATGGGATTCTTCTTTCCTTTTCCAAATCTGATTCCTTGGATACAAATTGATTCTTTCCAAGTGAAATACGCATCTTCCATGACTTCTTACCCAATTGAGAGTCACAAATCTAACAATCTCCACCTTGACTCGAAATTCCGGTGCAACGAACGAAACTCCAAAATTTCTCCACCTTGAGAAATAAGTCCGACTACATCAGAATAACCAAGCTCCTCAACACAGTAACCAAACTCTCCACGAAAATATATTTCTCCGCCCGGCATCCACACGCGACACCCAAACCCAAACCCGGGTTTCCAAAATTCCTCCTCGAATTAATAATCACTGGACAGGGTCGAAGGACACACTGTAGCAGAAATCACACCAAATGCACATTCAAAAGGTCCCTTGCCAATATTGTCACCTTCAATGATTTCTAAAGCATACAGACATCTCCAAAATTGTACATACGCTCCAAGAGTCCATTGGCATTACAAGAATACAGTGTACCCGCTAAAATTGGTGGCAAAGCGGAATCGCTAACACTCCCTTGAGCAAAGTTCTTAACTGACCCAGAGCCAAACCCGAGAGGTACTGTACCAAATTGAATATCCTCCACGGTACTGAACTTGTCCAAATGTCTTTGAACTGGTTCTGCACTCCCCTGCAAGATGTATAATTGGGATTTCCTCCGTCCCTCCAGTACAACCTGGACACCCCTTCGAACCTTCAAGACTCCACCTCCACCAGAAAATTTGTACCCTTTTTCATCCAAGGTACTCAGTGATATGAGGTTCTTTGTCAAGTTTGGAACATGGCGAACCTAATCAAGTGTCCTCACTGTTCCATCATGTAGCCTCAATCTGACCCGACCGATTCCTGCAACCCGGCAAGATTGGTTGTTTCCCATGACAACTCCACCTTGCTTCACCGTCTCATATGTTTGAAACAAAGTCCTATTGGGACACATATGATACGAACAAGCACAATCTAGAATCCACTCCTCAGGTTTGGATTATCCGTCAGATACAGCCAACACACATCTTCATCATCACAAAAATTTTCAGCAATATTAGTCTCGTTCGAATTACCTGATTGCCCTGCATGATTTGCATGTAAATCACCTTTACCCTACAACTTGTCACAATCTTTCTTGATGTGTCCTTTCCTCTTGCAGTAATAACAATACACATTGTTGTACCTCGCCTTCGATCTACCCTTCTGTCGATCACCATGAGTAACAAGAGCATCCCCTCTCCTAGATGTAGGATCTCCAACCAACAGCTCCATCTTCTCCTTTGAGAGCAGGGCGTCGTATACCTCCTCAATAGATAACGTGTCACGACTATACAGAATAGTATCACAAAACGACAAAAAAGAATTAGGTAGCAAACACAACAGGACCAAGGCTAGATCCTCTTCATCATATTTTACTTCCAATATCTCCAAATCTGCAACGATCTCCTTGAACACAGCAGTGTGGTCCTGCAGTAACCCTCTTTCTGCCATGCGATGAGAATACAACCTCTGCTTTAGAGCCAGTTTGCTCGTCAAACTCTTTGTCATGCACAACTGCTCCAACTTGAGTCACAAAGCAGCCATTGTCTTCTCCTTCAAAACATCTTGCAGCAAATTGTTGGATAAATGAAGTTGGATTTGTGCTAAAGCCTTCTGATCCTTTGGTTGTTTCTCCTCCATAGACAAGTTTGTTGGCATCCTATCAAAACCCAGCAAAGCATCGTCAAGATCCATCTGCGTCAACACAGCTCTCACCTTTACTTGCCACAGCGAAAGTCTTGTATTGCAATCCAATAGCGGAATTTCATACTTCAACGAATTCATCCTTGAAAAATCTCAACCAAATCACAAAGAACTTGCAACACCCAAAACTAAAAACTTCCGAACGTACAAGGAGGCAAAATAGTCCAGAACCACAATTTTGCACAAAACTGAAATTGGACACCACCACAAGGTCTGTCTCGTCGTCTGGAGAAAACTGTCTGAAGACACCGTCGTCGAAAACCACCGTATGCGCCGCCACCTGCTCGTCGGAGTTCCCATTGTCGGCGACCGGCCTGAAACGCGTCAGCGACCTGTGACCCTTTTTGGATCGTTTCTGTCTGCTGAGTCTACTTGTGGTGTTCGTTTCTCCAAACTCTTTTTGGTTTGACCAGAAAAAATAAAAAATAGATCCGGTAGAAAATCAAAAAACTGGACAGATTCGTTTTCTGATTTTCTAGTAATTTTTAGACCAATTTTCGATCAGTTTAAGGCTAGAAATCCACCAATAACCCCGCTCTGGTACCACTTGTTGGGACCAGGTGGAAACAAAATGTAAGAATTGAGATTTAATGGACACCAATTTGAAGTATAAATACAAGATCACAAAAATACCATGAACAAGATTAAAGTAAAGAAATAAACTGGTAGAGGAAGGATGTTATTTTATTCCATTAATGAAAGGATAGAATTACAACAATTGACTTCAAAAATACTAAAAGAGGAGACTCATATATATATGCCATGAGTTTACACCTAAAAAAGTCCCTAAAAGGTAGAAAATCTAGTAAAATTAGGCCAAGGCACATAAATTGAGATGGGATTCTTGTTTCCTTTTCCAAATCTGATTCCTTGGATACAAATTGATTCTTTCCAAGTGAAATAGGCATCTTCCATGACTTCTTACCCAATTGAGAGTCACGAACCTAACAGTATCTACACCTTTAAACTCATTGCAATTTGGATTCACATGCACGTATGCTACTCTGTCCGCTTCGAAATATTAATTGAACTTTTTTTATGCACGGTGTTTAAATTGAAACTTTCAAGCTTTACTTTTCACATTTATGCCCTTCTTAGTGTTTCTGTTTTGTTTTATTGACTTAATCACAAAATTATCAGAATATAGATTATTCTATTTTTCAAAGTAACTCCTAGCTATTAGTTTAAAGTCTAGGCTTTATGTGTGGATGATCGACATATAGATTTTTTCTTAGATTATTTCCATAATTATTTATTTATTTATTTATTTTGAATTTTCAGCTCTGTAGTTAACATGAACTTTAGAAATAATTTAGTAAAAAATTGTAGATTTCAAAAGGATATATGGTTCAATTGAAAAGTGGAGACAAGCCGGTCAGTTGGTAGAGAAGCTCTGGGACCAAATTTTGACTTTTGAGGGCTTGAAAATTACAAACAATTTTTTGCCAGATTCCTATAATTAACGATGCTGCAAAAATGGGAATGTGGAGTTTTTGACTCTGCTTATCATCTCATATCCTGATCTTATAGACGCCCAAAATAATAACTCCATATTTCATCTTACTATCACTCCCTTACAAGAGAAAGTCTTTTGTCTCATTGATCACACAGGAGCTATTAAAGATTTATTGATGATCTTTAGAGATAAATCCGGAAACAACATTTTGCACTTGGCTACAAAATTAGCACCTTCAAACAGACTCGATAGTGTATCTGGAGCAGCTCTTCAAAAGCAGAGAGAGCTATTGTGGTTTAAGGTGAGAAATTAACAAGACTACCAAATTCCCTTTCCTTTTTCCCCTCAAAGAGAAGAGGAACACTTTATAAAATGAAGGTGAATTGTATCATCTCTTGTTTATCTTGAATATATTTGTGGATATTATATATATCCATGTCACTATTCTACGTAAAAAAAAATTAATTCCCCATGTAACAATTAAATTTTGGATGATTATGCAATACACATTAATTTGAGTAAGCCTTACAGGAAGTGGAGAAGATTTTATTGCCTTTCAATGTTCAGATGAAAAACATTGATGACAAAACACCTAAGGAGTTGTTTACGAAGCAGCATAAGAAGTTATGGGAAGCTGGTGAGAAGTGGATGAAGGACACGGCAACCTCTAGCATGGTTGTGGCAACCTTAATTGCCACTGTTGTGTTTGCTGTAGCCTTTACTATACCAGGTGGGAATAAGGAAGAAACAAGCGCTCCAATTTTCTTGAGCAACGGGTGGTTCACAATTTTTATTACATCTGATGCAGTGGCAATGTTTAGCTCAACAGTTTCCATAATGAAGTTCTTTACACTCTTTGCTTCAATCGTTTGCATGGTTTTAACATTTAGTATAACTTCTTTTTGATCCATAAGGAAGAAAACCTAGGGATATTGCCAAAAATTGTTGTTGGTCTTGCTTTTCTTCCAATCACTTTATATGCAATGTTAAATTTTAGGTTATGGATTTCCCTAATCCACTCAACAATCTGAGCGTCAAGGTTTATGTTTTGACCGGGTAAGCACAGGTTTTTGTAGTAAAAGGATCTACAATACTAGTTCTTGTATTTGTTGCTGTTACTAAGAAAAGTGGAGAAGCTTTGTTGTTACTTTGTTTTATTTCTAATAAAATGCTTTGTTTTAAGCCTTTGTTTCTTCTAGTTATTACTTTGTTGTTGTTGTGTTTTCTAATAAAAGGCTTTGTTTTTCGAGTGCGAGAGAAGTGGAGAAGCTTTCTATTTTTTATTGATTTGTCTTTGCTATTCTTCAATGTATATTTATACATAAATATTGCAACTATCATTCCGACACAAATTAAATCAAGTAGAGAAGTCCACGATAAACATCAGAATTCTCATGCCTCAACAAAGATTTGTTTCTCTTTTCCACAATTTAGACCACTTGGTTTGTACCTGAAGCAATAGTATTCAAATATTAGATTATAGCCTCATGGATGATGATGAATTCAAGTACCTAATTTACATGAAAAATGTCAAGCTGGATAGTCCACAAATGTTTCCTTGGAGTCACTTGCGTGCCTTTATTACTCCGTTCACTTCAAAAAAAATATGGTTGCTTTTTGGGAATTGAGATTTTTATGCATTATGTGCAGATCATGTCCTTTGATATTTAGTCATGGATATCATATAGTTAGAAAACAGTCTATATATATGCATTAATCCTTTGGATAGGGAGTTTTAAATACCTTAAATTGAATCAATGATAATAATAGTTCTTAATTGAACTGATCCATGGAGAATGTACTTGTGCTTCTTGTAAGAGTAATTTTAGTCTTTCCTTTGGTTTTTCCTTTGTATCTATACTTGTATATGGGTTCTCATTATCCCCACCTAATATTAATGGCTACTCGATATAAATTTGGACTAGCATCTTCAGAACTTCCTAGGAAATGCTAGTTTGCATGGTTGGGCTTATGTGAAGACATTATGGCTACATATATTGTGTTGTTATTTCGTATTTTCTGCATCAAACAAATAGTGTCAAGATTTTGTTAATGTAATGAATAGCCAAACGTCGTCACAGAACACATTCTGTGACTCATATAGAGTGACAATACTCGCAACAAATATATTGTCGTCGGAAAATTACCTTTGCAACAAAATCTCAATTTTTGCGACAACATTTTTTTGTTGCGAAATGATTTATTTTTTGTAGTGCCTCTCTACCATGTAGCTACAGCAGTAAGGTGACATGTTCGTCTTGAGTCTTTTACTGTACAAGGGTTTTTGGATGACTATAAGTTCGAAAATATTTCTAGCAATGTACGAGTTACTAGGCGTGCACGGGGACAATGGAGCTGAACTTAAGGACACTTGCTCATTGCTTAGTTCATGTTCTGGTTTACTATATTAGACTCTGTTTTAAATAATAGATGAGGTTAATATTTTGCAAGTATATACAAGGGCTGGCCGTAGTAAGAACAATCAGCCTTGTGAAACAAACATGTCTTTCCTTCATTAACAACCATAAAACGACCTCCATTTCATATAGATCCACGGAAACAAAAGCAATATAGACACTGTCAATGTCATAAATGGTGTAAAGTGGAATTAGAAGGATATGGCACAAATTTTGCCCCTCTTTATAATTTCAGAACAGCCATATTTGACGAGTATGCATAGGGTATAAGAATGTAGTGCCTTATTTGAATAGGGAATTAAAATGGTTGCTGCAACTCAAATGTAGCCGCTGTAAATGCCAGAGAATGCTGATAGTAAAACTTCTGCTTGTATCTTAAGTTTCTTTCCTATTTTTGAGAGCCACAATCATTTTTAAGTGAAGTCCCTATCGCTCGATTCAACTTCCTACCAAGTACACATTAAGAATCTTCATCATCATTGCTCTAAAGAGAGGTAAAGATGGCCACATCTCAGTGGCTCAGTCACTTTGGTAAGTCATAAATCCTTGAAATAATTGTAGTTGCGGGTGTTCACGAAATAATTCTTTCGATTTAAAACTACCGCAAGTGTACGGTTCGTAACAAGTAATAAAGTGGATTTTAAAAAGTCCGAATATCGTCCCTCAGAGATTGAGTAGTTCAATTCTATATAATCTAGCCTTAACCGAATCTAATTGAGTGAAAATATGGTATAAATGCAAAAAGCCCTAATTTCAATTAAGAAACCCTAATTTCAACTAAAAACCCTAATTTCTATTGAAACCCCTAATTTCTCAATTAGAAACCCTAATTTCTCAATTTCTCTAATTAAATGACTTAAATACTCAAGTAAATGAAATTATGCAAATTCAAATGCTAATTTATGGAAATTAATCAAACTAAAGTCACTAGGATCACGAATCCCCAATTGAAGTTATAAAAACCCTAATTTCATAAAATTAATGATTCGATGAAAATTCGCCAATTCAATGTTCCTAATTCTATCCAATATACTCTCTCGATACATATTAGACCTATTCTTGCACACCACCAGCCTATATCTCTATGGATGATGCAAACATACAAGAATGCATGTAGTTTTGTGAACAATTTAAGAATTACATAAAGCATAGGGGTATATCTCTATCCCCTATCGGACCCTATGTTAATTTACACCTTATCGAACATATTCCACTTCTCTCGAATGTAAGAAACAAGTCATCAATACTCACACAATCATTGGCCACTAATTGCGGAAGAAAATTAATGCATGTAAATCAATCAAATTATCCAACAAATCTTTATATTAAGTTCATGAAATATAGAATTAAATAACAAACAACGGTTCATCGATCACCTAGTAATTGAAAACCTAGCCTAGAAGATTCATAATTACAGAAAACAAAATGAAATTAATGAATAGAAAGAATAACACCCGTATGAAAGTTCTTGAAATCTGAAATCTTGAACAAAACCTTGAAAACCCCTTTGAATCCTTGTGAAATCCGCTTCAAGTTCGTGTTCTTTGCCTCCAAAAGTTGTATTCTTCTTCTCCCTGGACGTTCTACCCTAATTTTGATGAATTTTGGCTTTTATATCATGTCATTACAGAGCCCCAAAAGAGTTTCAATTAAAAACGGAAAGTTAGATTTTTTTTCAAAATTAAGGCCATGCGGCCGCATGGTTCAATTTTTCTCCTCAGTGAAAACCTTGCACCACCATGTGGGGCCGCGTGGTGTTATTGCATGCGGCCGCAAGGTTGTAAAAGTTACAACCTTGTCATTTTGGCCCCTGAACTCTGTTTTCTCTTTTCTTGATCTCTTTTCTTTCTTTCCTTTGTTCCATTATCACATATTGACCCCTAATTGATGTTTTGATTAATTGCAATTTAGTCCTTCATCTTTCACTTTTCTTCAATTCAGTCCAATGTTACTTCTTTCTTCCTCCAATCGTCTTGTATCGTCCTTAATCTCATACTTGGTGTATTTTCATTCTAATTCTGCACTTTAGCTCAACTTTTCAATATTTGCACCTTTGGTCCCCGAACTATCGCTTTGTTCCGTTTTGGTCCTTTTTCGGCTCTTTTCTTCTGAATTCCATCTTTTCCATAGAAACACCTACATTGCATGAATTTAACAAGATTAAGTCACAATTCAACTACTTTGTCCATATTTAAGTCATGTTTGTGAGTTAAATAAGTGTTTAAAACACTTATCAAATCCCCTAAACTTAAACTATTGTTTATCCTCAAACAATGTAGTGACTTAATGCTAAACAAATATGGCTTAATAGCTTGCCATGTCTCAGGATTGGACTTAGTAATAATAATAGAAACAATATCAAGAGTGCGAGAATTGAATCAACCTTTACTCATCAAATGCAATACTCAACGTGTATGTGTGAACTCATGCCAACATATCAAGCTTATGATTAGTTTATCCCAGACCCATAGTGGTCAAATTTATCCTTACATCACTCGAGAGATACACAATCCCCAAATGTATTCTTTTCACACAATTTCTCCGTGGTGTATTCTAAGGTTAGGAGTTTAAACAATTCTAATCCTTACCCTCTCTTAGTTTGGATAGATTTTACCATTACAAGTTCACATATCAACAAGTAGAGACTCTCCTTATTTTTGATTGCTTCAACCTTTAGGATTAATTAAAGCTTTCACCTATTTCTCACCTTCCGGGTTTAAACAATCCACACATTTTAATTTCATGCACGGAGCCCCCACTTATCTCCATGTTTTCCTACAATGGCTCAATCATCTCCAAACTACCTTAAAGTGATATTACGGGTTAATGTTATAGAGGATTATTCTAGGTTTCTCCTAATTTATTCTAAAAATTCCAATCAATAGCTTAACACGTGACATGAGTGGCGTGCAAAAGAGTGGCAAGCAATGCATCAACAAGTATTAGCAAATTACATTCTGCACTAAATCCACAGTTTCTAGCTTATACATGTCCAATAATCACATCATAGCCGGCAAGGCTACCAAACCCACACAAGCATGCAAACGTTCATAAAGATTCACTCATCAAGCATGCATCATGCAAAAACTTGTCAAAATTAACGATGGATTGTGAATATGCAAAATAATTACATGCCGGATATTTGTTTGAAATTATGCTACCATCCCCCAAACTTATACAATACATTGTCCTCAATGTAAAATGTAAAGTTAAAATGGCAGAATTTAAAACATGGACACAACTTGGCAATAAGAGATTAACAAAACTCCCCTGATCAATGCGGTGGCTGTGGTGTGAAGCTGGGACCTGCAGCATCATCTTCAGGAGGAGGTGGGAGGCGAGATAGGACTTGTCTCAGCAACTCGGACTGCTGTGCTTGCTCGACCTGAATGGCTTGAAGACTACTTTCCATATTTCCCAAGAGATCCCAAGTCTCGTTCACACGCCACTGTATACCATCCATTCTCCCAGCGTACATGTTCAACCTACCATTCATAGTCTCTACTTCCCTTCTCGCAGATGTGGCTGCATTCAAAGCACCTCTTGTGTAGTCTCGGGAGGAGTAGAGGTCTCTCTGTACTTTTTCAACAGTGGTGGTCATTGTCTCGAACCTCTGCTGGAGGTTTTGTATGTCTCTGCTAGTTCCAGTGGCTGTGGGAAATATTTGTCGAAGTAGCTGCGAATCCATCTCAACTGGTTGTGGCGGGGCTTGTGGTAAGTGTAAATCTTCAGCAGCTTGTCCTTCTTCCTGCGCATTTTGTCTTTGCTGCTCAAGTCTTTCTTGTTCTCTCTTCCTTACCCTAGCTCGTTCCTGAGCTTCAAATGTGGTGAGCTTTATCAATGGTTTTGATTTCTCAGGCATCTTCCTTGCCTCAACTGTAACACCGGCAGCAAGACATATCCCGCTAATCAGACTAGGGAAAATCATCGAAAACCGCCTATCTCCCCAGGTTCCCAAATTGTGTATCTGGTCAAAAATAAGAGTAGCCAAATCAACTTTGCATCCCCGGACTAAATGATATATGAACCAAGCAGTTTGATCCCTGAAAGTTGTCTGATGTGATGTGGGTTCGATGTTATAGCACATGAAGACCCAAAGGATGGCTATGGAGGGAGTAAGCTCAATTTGATGCCACTCTGCAGTGGGTAGGGGCCAAGCATTCTCTCTTCCCAAGAGAACCTCCACCACTTCATTCCAGTTGAATTGAGAGGGAATCGGGACCACATTGTCCAAATTAAGATTGTAGAAGTCATGAATGACGACTGGGGAGAACATTATCCACTTACCTCGCACCCATGTCTGGTGTAAGTGTTCAGAACCCGAAGTCTCAATTTCACTATTGAAGTTTGCATAAAATTCTCGGACTAAACTTTCATAAACTGGGTGTGGCTTTTCTACAATCTTCTCCCATCCACAAATTTGCATCAGATTTGGCAACTCAAAACCACGAAAATCATCTAACCGGACCTGTCTCTCTGGTATCAAGCCCCAATGGC